TGCATTCCTTATAAGTCCCGTTACCTTCCGATCAGAAACAAAATTGCGACCGGTAGTCATGTCATAACGACCAGATGTATTATGAGCAAAGAATGATACCTACTTCCGACTTGCTGTGTTTCAAGACGACTGTGCATGAACTATATTGCCACAAAACTTTATGAAATAAGAAGTTATTCATGTTGTTTATTATAGCTATGGTTCAAGAAATGGCTATACCTCAAGCTGATCGCAAGCGTTTACTGAAACAAATGGAACTGGCAGAGAACTATCAAAAGTCGAGACATATCAGTCATTGCTCATCCAATTCTAGTTGTGTGACGCATTGTTGTACTTTTGGATTAAGTGATCCGAATTGTGTGCAGCATTATTCAGAATGCACTCGCGAGCATAACACTATATGTTCGGATTGTTTCAACATTATCAAAACACTTGATGAGATAAAGCAGAAAATCGAAAAACTCAACAATCCAGATCTGCAAGCAGAAGCCAAATATGACTTTGAAAACGCTTCGGAACACATAATGGAGTGGCTACGTCACAATCTTCGTGCAGCACAACAAGACTTCGAAAAGAAAAGGATAATCTCAGAAATGGGAACTGACGAAGCCTTTAGTACCTTCGATTGGGGTCAGAAAATTTTACCACAAGAATACAGAGAATCCCAAAAGAAGTATTTTGGAAAAAAGGGAATGTCAATATTTATTGGTTCATTCGTCTGGAAAAATGATTCACTAATTTCTTTGGCAACTGACTCTGCAGTAGCTACTTCATCCACATACACCTTTTCTACACAATCATATATTGTTGCATTAACCAACGCTGCTCAGACAGAAATCGATACATTAAGTGCTGGCGAGCTTATTTTAAAACAATTTCGAGCTGATTATCCGCATATAAAGAAGCTACATAAACGAACAGACAATGCAAGCAATTTCTCGTCGCATGGGACTCCTGAAGCTGAAAAAGTCATTTGTGAGAGAGTGAGTTTTAAAACACTATGCTATCGCCACAACTACTTCAACATATTCTATAGCTTGATATTGACTTAATAACTAGGGATTATAGCGAAGTACAGAAGGGTAGGGACATATGTGATCGTGTCTGTGGAGTAGCCAAAAACCGAATGCGTTCTTGGATAGTTACAGGCAATGATCTTCTCAATGCACACGATATAAAAGAAGGGATGGAATATGCTGGTGGGATCAAGAACCTTAAGATAGCTGTAGCAGAGGTTATACCAGGTGCTGGTATGTAGAATATCAAATAACATTATTTTCTTATTACTCTTTTTCTTTATTTGAGGTCACTTGGACAGAACAAATGTTCCTAATATTTCATCAGTACGTTCCGTTCGCTATGAGCCTGAAATCATGAAGATTTATAAAGCATCCAACATTGGTGTCGGAATTGAAATAGAATACAAAGCAATACTATTTGAAAATAATATGAGAATCACAAGTCCTTTCACCACACCGATTAATGAACAATCATCTTCTATAATTCCGAAAGGGTATATAGAATTTGTCATACAATGCTTTAGCTTATTTTTAATCATGAGTAGGGCCGCAGACAGGCAATATCTTCAGCTACTATTCTGTCCTGTCAGTAACTGTACAATTACTTTCAAAACAAATGAGGAGCTTGATGCACATGTCGCTATTAATCTGCATATGACTCCAGAAGACGTACCGAGAACAGCAAACGATATTGACAGAACTCATTTAATGGAACTGTTACGATCAACCGCGCTGCGATCAAATCAAGAAACACAAGCTATTCTTCAACATCAAGATGTTCATGACGGCAATGTATCGTCCTCATATCATTACCAATGCGTATCAACATGTGGGTGGGCACTGCGAACTCGAAAACTCGGTAAACCAATGAGTGAAAAAGTGAAGAACTTTATTGAACAACTTTGGTTGGACTCAGTGAGGACCAATTCAAGGATTACATCTGAAAACGTTCAACAACAAATACGCACGAAAAGAGACTCTAATGGACTAAAGTTCTTTGAAACGAACGAATATCCTACGAAAAATCAAATCAACTATCAATTTCGCAAGCTGAATCGAAAATACGACCTATCCATCCAACAGCAACTTATAGCCGAAATCATTGATGAAAACACAGAATCACAGTAAATTGTGTGTCTAAAAATGAACGATATGATGTTTCTAAACCTAGCTTTTAAGTATCAAAGTTTGCTCTACACAAGAGATAAATGTATTTCGCTTCCTATCAAAAAGCACATAGCAATTCAGTTTGACTCTCGAGAAGCCTAAACTAAAATTGACGCTAATATGAAAACAAAATGTCATAGATATAAGATAACACTAATATTAAATGGGCATGGCCGTTGAATCTACATCGATCGATATCGCTCAAATGAAAACAATACGCGTGTATCTCATGTCACAAGAGAGTACCATAAAAGTATAGTTGAAAAAATGTCAAGATTGATGAAATTGTGGATGGTTGTAAACTGAATATTACTTCTACAATATGGCCAGAGTATTAAAATACAGGAATCATAAGAAAGAATACTCCAAGTTGTAGTTATTTACCAATACATGCAGCAAAATCTCATGATTATACCTGATTTTCCTTGTATTTATAGAAAAAAATTTCCAATGCGAATGGGAGAATATCACCATTGTATTCAGCATGAAAAATTACCTAGATTCTATAGACAATACAAAACTTGATTCTAAAAATTTACGCTTAATTATTGAGTTAAACAGATTTCACATTTTGCTAGAAAGATGGGTCTCGTAATCAGCCAATTCTGGAGATCCCACGTTGATTTCTATACAGAGTTGTAGTACTTTGAGAGTACTTTCTAACGATAAGGTCCGGCGCCTCAGGCGAATCGTATCTTGGGAGATAATCTATTCCGAAAATCGACATTTTTATTAAAATGCCATTTTTTGAAGACCTGTTCCAGCCGAACGGATCAATCAAATTGGCTGAAATTTTCAGGGCATGTAGACATTTGAATGTTCTATCCACAGTAAAACTTTTAGACCTCTCGTTCATCCCTATCATTAGTTATGAAGGGCCAAACTTACCAAAAAAATTCTATTTTCCGTATTTTTGATGACTCATAATTAACGAATTGTCCCATATTTTGGGACAAAAATTTTATCACAGATAGAACTCACTTAGTTGTACTTGCACACAAAATTTGGCCTTAATCCATAACGGTATTATTGAGATATGGTTACATTTAGACCCCCCTTGGAGAAAGTAGCATTTTTGGGACTTTTCGTAAAACCTTCATAAAAAATGAACGGTTCAATATTTTTTCAAAAATCTTTCACAGATATTCTTAGAACTCTTGTCTCTACAACATATCAAAAAATGAGCCAGATCTGACGACATCGATGGAACAAGTTCGGTCGTGGCTTACGTGGACTGACTCATATATATATTAAAAACAAGAATTATCAATAAAAAAAAGCAAATAATTTCATTTTATATTAAGAGAAACCATCATGTTCTTGAATGTATAATTGAAACAGATTAAATATCGTTGGATTATGAATTGTAGACAAATTTAAGTTCTTCTTCCTTTAAAATAAAACTTCTCACCAGTTTCGCTTCCTCATCTTCTCACATCACCGCAAATTTCAGTTCCATTGCTCTTCATCTATTATTTTTATGCGAGAATCACCGTTAGAACTTTTCACATCTTCAACCCGATTCGATTACCTCATTGTGTCTATTGTCTCTTTAAAACATATATTAAGTCAAAACACGTGGTAAAACTGTGACATTCTAAAACAAAAACATAAATTTTGATAATCAAAACGTTGTTATCGTTTAATTATGGTCTATCTAAAAAAAAAAAAGAGTCACAAGAATCACTAGCTTCAAATGCCTTATTAAAAAAAAATCCAATCTACCTCAATGAGCTAACAGAATGGCGTTGGAGATATGAAAAGCACTAGTAATGAATGTCATATAAAAAGACATACCCAGTAAAATTGTTATAATCTCTGGAAGAAGAAAAGAAATGGAACTGAATTTTTCGGTGCTATTCAAAAAGTTTCAACTGAATATTTCGTAACATGGCGGATGTTATGTTTAATAAAGCTTCATAAAATAATAAAATACAAAGATTTCATCATAAAATTTCTTTCTCTTCTATATAAACCAGTTTAACACAAAGTTAAAAATCACATGTGCTATAACGAGTTTTCGTGGCATGCATCAATAATTGTCCTAGATTTCCGTGCACATGCAGTTAAGTTTGTGCATTCATATTCGTAGAATAAATAAAAAATAAATTTTGTAATAAGCATACAGGATTGAATGTCAGTTGTAAAATTAGAAATAATCTGCTTTATTTTATAGGGCGAACTTCTGTACCACTTCACCAACGAGTTCATTTTCAAAGATAAATACACAAAGATACATCGAAGAGAAAACTATAACTTTCCTTAACACATCATCTGTACTACAAAACAGAATCAATCCTATTCCTGTTTCACAGATTATGATAGACATTTCAAGTATGTGAGAAGGCGTGCATGTAGATTCCAGTGTTGATATGAACGCGTATATGAGAACACATGCAGAAATGAGATACGAATGTAAGCTCCGACAAAAAAGACTGGAATAGACACAAATATATATATGTATGAACAAGTTGGAAAAATCCTAATTGCATCTTAAATTAATACGCTCGGAAAAATCTTCTATACGACATAAAGAAACATGGTGAGAAAAATCTAACATGCGACATATGCAAATGTTCTCAAATTCTGTATTTCAGCAAGAACGTTAAACTCTTCTTCCTATGTTCTTCAAAGAAATTAAATATCTATCTTGAAAGAAATGTTCAACATCATTACTTATATCCTTTTCTTTGTCGAAGTTGCTGTCTCACAAAACACACAAAACTATGTTTTTTTTTAGTCATAGTTGAAGTCCTTCCGATATTTACTTTTTTCGAATTCATACGACAGACATAGTGTGTACTGTTCGTGATAATGTGTTTCTGCCATTGTTCCTGTTTATACAAAAGTTTACCTATATTACATGGTATCATTGGTTTTCTCGAATGTATTCTTGGTATAATACGTCTTAAATTTTTCTTTTCATCATCTTCTTCGTCTACAAACGTTTCATCCAGTACAAATACAGGAAATATCAATAAGAAAATATATAGTAAGAAATATGTAGTAGCATTTATTATTGATTGGATCAGTTCAATCGTACCCACATTAATTGGATTATTTACTACGCTAATTATTCTTGTAATACTATATAAAATATGTGCTTGGTTGATTAACAGCTATAATCGACAACATGGAAATAATGAAGATGAAAGTAATACAGATAGCATACTAACTCGTTTATTAAAAAACAAAGCATTGCGTCGTTTTCTTATAGTTGATTGCAATTGTTCATGTTATAAGTCTAGACCTAAACGACGATTTCAAGTGCGGCTTGCTTTAATTATTCTGGTCTTTATTTTACGTATTGTGGCTATTGGACTCTATGCATCATCATCCGATGATAACTATGATGGTGGGATATTAGCTGCTATTTGTGCTTTTTCACTTATCTTTTTATTTACTACATTTTGTCTAGATTTATATCGTTATTGTGTTTGGTGGCATTATACACCTTATGGTGATACTCGATGTCATTGTCGATCGAAAAAACATGAACGATATATACCATATCATATGATTGGTGATAATCGTAATCCAAGATTATTAGGTGATCGACCCTGTCGTGAACAATCGTGTCATAAAAGAAAACTTGATCATATTGCAGTATTTCATTCGACAGATTATCAGCCACAGGATCGCTGGAGAGATATTCCCAAGTCACCACCTGAATTGCATGCAACTACAAAGAGAATTTTTTGCTTAAATTATCAAAACAAAGATCATCAACCTCATTATATTGGCTTTCACACGACTACACCTGAAGCTGCTGTTTCAATTGCACATAGTGAATTTCAACCAGTACTGGTGGATGGCTAGGTGCTGGTGCTTATTTTGCTCGATCAATCGATGGAACAATTGGAAAAGCAAGAACTGGTGGTGGTGCTTATATTATTGCTGAAATTCGCATGGGTAAAGTATACGAAGTTCACCGAAATCTTATACACAAAAAACATACATTGTTCAATCGTCAAGTGTATGACTTTGTTCATCGATCAAAATGGCAACATGATTATGACACTTGTTATATGATCCATGAACATGATGATCGTGATGAATTTGCTATTAAAGATCCTGAAAGACAAATTGTGAAATGGGTCATTGTAGTTGAACGACCATTCGATTATAAAGTAGCAAGATATCAACTCGATACAGAATTTGATTCTACGAAATGTGGTTGTATTTAAGATAGAAATCGTCAAATGAATAATACATCCTAATTAGATGAAACAAAATCTTGTTTTTTAAATAGTTAAGGGATATTTGCACCAAATAAAGATCTATTTCAATCTATCACGCGATCAGGAAGTTTCAATAGTATTTCTTCATTATTCATTTGTAAAAGACGATAGAAATGTGTGAATCATTTCTATACGATTGAAGAAGAACAATGTTTAATTAAGATTTCAAGGATGGGTGGAGGTGTAGATATAGGCGAATGAATGAAGAGAAGAACCATACCCATAACACATTCGATAGATACTTTAGAATTTAAAAGTTATCCAAAACGATGCGTCACGCAGAGAATATAGCGAATTATTGCTTTCTATGCTCTACTGTTACAACCAGTAAACGTTAGTAAATGTCGTCATGACGAAATAATTGATGTTACCATAATTATTTACTTTTCATATGATAACGAAAGCGGTCTCCGTTAGACTTCATTTTGACTATGCGCGGCTTAGTCAAAACCCGATATTATCGATCTCCTATATTGTCAGGCAATGTTGTATTTACCTGCAAAATTTCTTTCTCTTTTTTTTTCTCTATTGCATGGTATATAGGAAAATGACAATAAATTGTTCTTTCCATTGTTCTGTTAGTCTGACACCGTTTGCTTTCATTTTACAATATAGAAACACTCATGACAAAACTCCCTCACTACATTACTCGATTGACTTTTTAAAGCTCTACAAAATGATACTATTGTGTTGAGTCTAATTTATGGTCAAATCGGTTTTGATCAGAATTGAGATTGCATCAAAAAACTAAAGTCAGTCAAAAACATCACTTTTATTGTTCGTTTTGGATTTTTCTAGATCTTTAAAATTTATTTTTTGATGTAACTTACCTTTCGTGCTGACTCCAAAGCTATTATCTTTTTCATACGAAGCCTGACTATTCTGACTAAAAACGATTCAAATTAATCACAAACGGCGACTTTCGACACTCATGAACATTGTGTGTTTGATTAAAGTGTCATGGCCATAAACTAGGCTCAAAACAATCCTACTTAGTATCATTTTGTAGGGCGTTAAAAAACCTATCAAATATGAGAAGCATTATATTCTCCTAAAAAATGTTGAACGTGTTTCCTGATATCTTTCAGTAACATTATTAAGGGCGGGATGTGAGGATCGGTATGAAGCGAAAACTGATATCTACATTCATCGACATAAGAAAACACACTGCCTTGTTGGTAGTTTTGTTGTTGAATATCTTTCGCACACTATTATTTCTTGTTGATGTACTTATACATCTCTCCTTTTTTTTGCATGCAATAAAAAATTTTTAGTCTCGCTAGTCAAGAATCTCAAAATAAACTTTGTTCAACTTTCTTTTTTGGCTAAGCTAATGCCATTCGTTTTTTCATTGTTCTCCTCATATTGTAAGTGTAAGCGAACAATTTTATCTAATATTCGACAGAGTAAAGAAAGAGCTTTCATTTTATATAATAGTTAAATGAAAGGAATTGAAACAGAGAAAGAAACTTTTCAAGTAAATACAACATTGCATGCCACCATAGTAGATCGATAAATATCGAGTTTTGAATCAGTCACACGCAATCGGAATGAAATCTAATAGTATAATTTCAACGGCAACCAACTGCTTACGCGCGGATTGACTACTTGGAAAATAATAAACTGAGCGTCGAGAGAAGATCGGCTTCATCGTTTGACAGCTCTCACCTTTTCATTATTTTCTACGGTTCTGTCTCTATTAATATAAATAAAAAATAAGTTGAGAGATTCTTCGTTTTACTTTTATATAAAAGAAGAATTTTATCAAATAATGGTATGAGTTTCTAATTTGTATCTTAGATATTTACAAAATAATGTCCAAAACGTAAAGAAGGCCTGAATTGGTTGGACAAACATTCGATGTTGCATCTCAACAAATTTTAGATTTTGATAGCAGTATGTTCAATCATTCAATTTAAATCTATATTCACTAAAAACCTATCTGTTTTCTTCATAGGTTTAATGCCATATAATGCAAGGAATGGAATTCAAGATTGAATGTACATGCCAAATCGTGTTGTATGTGTCACAAATGCTGACGATATTATAACGAAAGTTCCAGTTCATAATTACCAATAAAACACGTCAATAATGTGATTAACCTGATTCATATATGATACATATTTTATTGCTACTTAGAAAAGACACATTTGTTTTTGTTTAGTTTATTAGATTATTTCAATATAAACAATCTATCTCTATTTCTCTTGACTGTTTATTTTATTCAGTTATTAATTAAAAAAAATAAATAACTGCTTTGATTAGTAGCTGAAGAAATGATGAAGCGTGCTCTAAACAAGGCAAAGCATGTGTTGAACGCGAAAATAAGATGACATCATGTCAATTGTCTTGCCATCAACTCAAATTAATCGTATGATTCGTGTCTCATTTGACTATTTGAGTAAATGCTGAAGTAAATGTGGCGATCATTCATTGAAAAAATACATGATGGTATGGATATGATGTAATTCTTGCATATGAGCACCTTGTTTTTCTATATTAAATTGATAAAACTTATTTCCAAATGTTTTTTTTTAGTTGATATTTTTTCTTTTCGAACTTTTGTCATTGTTTTAGGTAGTTTTGATTTATCTTCTTGTCGTTTTAGTACAATTTCTTGTTGAACCTTTTTACCATATGATCTTTGTTCATGTTTTTCAATATCAGATTAATGTTTCACTAAATAATCTTGAATCTAAAAGGAACCATATTTTTTAAATTTTAAACGAAAAATTTATTTTTTCTCTTATCATATGTTTATCTGATGTGATCACTAGAGTATAATAATTATCAAGTCGTTTTTTTTTAATTTGTTCCATTTCTAAATGCGAAATACCTTCGAGAACAGTAGATTGAGCTGGAGAATAATTAGAAGATAAATAAAACTAATTGTTGTATTCGTTTTTGTTTCAATTAATTTACACAAGCATTTCCCGTTTAAAATCATGATCAGTAAGTGTTTCATCATTATCATTTGTAGATAAATCAGATTCATTAATAAGTACTGAAGTGTTAGTACACTTAAGTTGTTTGATCCATGGTAAATCAAGATGAATTTTAGCATATTTAGAAGTGAGTGCTTCTTAACCCTTTGAGGACGGGATTACTTTTCAAAAAGATCACATTCTCGAAACTTCGAAATAATATCTCTGCTAGAAAGAAGGTGTATCAAAATACAATACATATGGTCATGTAGCATCACATCGATGATGACGAACCCATAGTCTGCACTAAATGTAGATCACCACTATATAATGAAAGACATATTCAAGTGCGTTGCACGTCGATCGAGAACCGTTGCCTATATATAGGCTTAGTTTCGTGAAAGGG